TCGCCAATACGAAATACCTGTAAGTTAGGATATTATATAAAGTTGAGAGCGAGGAAGGTGCTTACTTTCTCTTCTACCTTGACTTTTTTTCCGCGAATCCTGCTGAGGTCCGTGTTGATCATTAATGCGTAATGATATTACGAAAAAATAAATAAATTACAGTCTGTGAAACTTTACAAAAACTTGCTCTGGAAAAGTTACGTTATACGATTGGATCCTGAAAAGGATAAATAATAATATAGTCACTCGATCCACAAGTAAAAAACTACCGTTTAAAGGAAATTCTTACAACTCAAACCAAATACCTAAATGAGCATTTTGAGCTATGTCACTTGATGATTATAAAAAAGTAAGCATTCTCTTGACTGAAGAATGAGTTTTTCGATGACCACATATTATAAGGAATATTATTGAATGACGATGCATTAAGATAAACTAGGACCAAAATATTCTCCAAAATCTTGTAAAGGGATAGATCACCAATTTAGACGATTAGCCACCTAAAAAATAATGATTTTTGATCGAGTTTTTAAGCATTGAAAACGCCCATTTTTGAGACTTCTAGTCGCTTAAACGGTAAACTTTAAACAAGGACCTTTTTTTGTTCACAATGATCCACAAAACTTGAAAAACTCTGTCCAAGGCAAAAAAAATCAATTTTTGTTTACGAAAATTGTTTAAACAAATTTGCATCGGGTCACAGCGTGTTCCATGTTAAAAGGCATCCAACAAACGTGGATATTAAAAAAATCGAGTTGTAAAATATCTGCCCGGTATGGGAAGTTTTCAAAGTTGAGGCATTTAGTTTAATAGGTTGTGAAATTCGTCAAAAGAAGTTGATGTACCAAAAATCACCTAGATGAATGTTGCTTAATGAGAGCATTAGTTTACATTATTCAAAATTATTTGAAGATTATCAAGTTAAATGGATACCGTTTTTACAAAAATTGTTCAAAATTGTCTCCATTTGTTCGATTAACGCTAAATCTGCCTCGGCGAATCCACGACTCTCTACAAGATACGAAAATAAAATCCTGGTGCCCACGCATTTTCAGTGAGCTGTAGAAGTTCTTCCAGAGTATTTACTGTTCCATCATCAGACACCAATACCTTCAAATAGCCCAACAGAAAAAATTGCAAGGCGTTAAATCCGGAGAGCGAGCTGGCCAAGAAATGGGCCATTGCGCCCTAACCACATATTCGGAAACCCGTTATTTAGATGTTCATGAAATTCTCGTCTAAAATGTAGAGGGAGCCCCATCATGTAGGACCGATACGAGTATATTCTCACATTTAGAGGAACATTTTTTAATAGTTGTGACAGATTAGGTCGAAAAAAGTATGATCCAATAAGCATGCCATTTACCACGCCAGCCCTAACATTTAATGAAAATCTATGTTGAAAATGGGTTATTATATTTTTACAGCATGAGGATTTTCTACTACCCAAACATCATTGTTGTGGAAATTGTACACTCTATTCCGTGTAAATGTGACCTCGCCTGTACACAAAAATAATTTCGTATACTCTTCATTTCTGCCGAACTGTTCTAAAAGCCACTGGCAAAAAACAACCCCTCTAGGATGATCTTTAGGTTGTAACGCTTGTACCCGTTGATAATGATAAGGATAATACTGTTCTTGTCGTATTGTCTTCCACAGTTTACTATGAGAAATTTCAACTCGAGCTGCTAAGGGTCTAGTACTCATCGTTGGGTCGTCTTCGACCATTTCTGAAATGTCTTCCTCAATTTGTAACATTTAAGGTTAAGCAGTGACCTCCTTGTTGTTCTTTTAAGTATCGTGCATCAGGAAGTCTATTAACTAAATTTACAAACATCCGTGGGGCCAGATAATTTCTTAAAGGAAACCTTTCTGCATACAACCTACCTACATGCTGCGTTACTATTTTGTCCAATAGTTCATTGTTTTCGTAAACGCGGGCCATTTTTTCCGCACAAAATAACCAAACCAATGAAGGCATACGCACTATTAAAAGACTGATTCAACAGATCGAACCATCGACCTGTACTGAACACCACACAATAACACAAAAATATTTACAAATTTAGATAAACGATAAGAGTAGTAAACAAAAAACGCTAAGGTTTTATACGGCAGTGGTCGAAAATATCAAAAAATCTGTATTACATTGTTGTTTTTAAAATTTTTAATCTTTTATTACTCCTACAAGCAGTTAAAATAAATGATTCAACTTTGAAAACACCCTGTATAATAAATAGGTTATATTGGAGATGAACTCTTTTTATGCTTAAATCACCACGAAGGTCTATGGACTAAACACTCATGGGTACCGTGGGGCTATAGGGGAAACATGTGTGCATGCTGAATTACAGAAGCACTCAGAATCATTTCCTCATGTTTTTTTCTTAGTTTTTAAATCCGGGATCTCTCCGCTTATGTGTATCACAGTTGAAATAGTGATGTTCAAGAAACTATAATTTTGATATTTTTATTCAACAACCAGTTTCTGGTCCATACACCGACTGCTGGCCTCACAACGATTATATAAATTTTATGTGCTGAGGAATGTGACCCAATTTCCTTCTTACGTTAAAGCAAGGCAAGTAATGAAGGAAATATGGTAAACGAACGACTGCACTGAGAAAGTTTACAGCTTTGTAGCAATACGCATGTGGTACGTTGTCTTTTGAGAAAGTATTTAACGAATAAAATACTGTTTGTGAGTAGTTCACAGGTTATTCAAGCTTTTTACCTCCTCCGCTACTGGCGAGAAAGCATTGTAATTGCGAAAAAATCCGAAAATGATTTTTTATTTTTGGATGACATCGTAGTAGTAGCACTAGTAGTGAGGGGGAGACAAGTAGGACCTTTTTCCGACCCCGAATGTACCAGCACATATGTTGATTTAGTGAACTGTCTAACCTTGCTGACCTCCCAATGAAGGTCAGGATCTCCGACCATTCCGCAGTATAACCAACTCCACCAATAAATTCCGTGGCCCCAAAAATTTCAGCCCTTAGGGGCAATAGCTCAGAAAGTGGAATGCAGTTTTGTTCTCCTCCCAGCACTTGCGGCACGTTAGGTCTCTTTACATTTTCAACAGGGAAACCCCAAAAAGGTTCAGTATGCTCCGTTCGGTGCGCTTCTCAATTTCCTTTGGGTATGCAACCGCTAAGATGTCAAATACCTCTGCCTGAAAGATCGTTGTGCAGGTTCCAAGCACAAAGCTTTCCTGCATGCATTTGCTTTCCAAGTATATTCCCGCCCCACCAGACCCCATTTCCCTAGAAAAGGATCTATCGGTGAAGCATTCGAGATCCGGAGGCGGGAATGTTCTTTCTCCATTCACCCATTCTTCCCTCGAATAGTGTGAGTGAATATTCTAAGTCTGATCTTATGGCGTTTTTGGCCCTTTCCAGTTTTACCGAAGATGTGGAATGACCAACCACCGGCCCTCGCATCGCTCGCGTGCCCTCATTACGCATCCTTATGCCTGCCTGCACTTCACTATCGGCGATAATCGTTGATCGTGTGATCATCGTCTATGATCGCCTTCTACTCGTGAGTTGTCGGTTCTTCGGACACTCATCAAAGGTAATCACCGGTTCATATTGATGCTTGCCGTTTGACAAACTGCTACGGACGCACGTGCGGATGCTTGCACGATGATCGTGTCTATTATGAACGATCACACGATCAACGATCATCGCTGATAGTGAGTGCAGGCATTGACTGAGGGTCAGTGGTATACAGTGGAGGGTCGGTGGATTGAAATCCTCTATATTCCGTCTCTTCTTGAAGAGGACTAGCTCAGTCTTAGATCGATTGACTGACATCCCTATCCTTGCGCACATTTTTGCCAAAATATTGCAAGCATTGTCGTGCAGACGACGCCTAAAAACTTGCCTCAAAAAAGAACAAGTCCGTCGACTGCATACGCCTGGCATAGAAGCCGCATTCGGTCAGATGTTAGATGGCATAATGACATTTTACAATGGTGTTCAAGTGTTGAAGAGAAATAGCTGAAAATTATTTTCAGCTTCCTCTGATGGCAACTAGGTGGCTTCACTCAAATTTCAAAAATTCAAACATCACTATTTTGCAAAAATTCATAATTAACATGCCCATTAAATAACTTACAGTGTTTACCGCTCAACTTCCGAACTTTTTTCCTTGTAATTTTCTCATATTTGTTAGTTTAGGGTGGAGGAAGAGTTTAATGACATTTCAGGAAAGTCGCATACCTTCTATTTAGCTGCATTGATTTTGATGATCATGTTTTCACTTGTAAGAGTATTCACCTGCGCTTCTAATGAATGATCAATCTTTTTTAGTTTATGGTCACTAGATGGTGCTTTGTGGATGTCAGCTTTTTTTATCTTTTCAAAACTTAATATTTTATATTGACCTGAAAGTGTATAACAAATCCTATAGGATGGATAAAACCGCAGATCCATATCTTAGTAGTAAAAGTCCAACTCTGTCTCCAATAGTTTTATCTCAGTTGGCTTTGCAATATGATTAATAAAATACCGTGTTTTCTACCGGGTTGTCCTATTAAGATTTATTAAAGGTGTGAATTATGAGATATGTTACTACTGTAATATTATAGCGGCTATTTCGTTCAAAAGCGAGTGTTAATAAAATAAAAATAACCTATTAGTCCCACATAATAAACTTCGCCTTCCAATCCACCAACCTTGCATGTTGTGGACGGTCGAAGCCCAACTCAGGATTAATGGCAACATTCGCACTGATCGCGCTCTAGCCTTATCTCTCCTACTCCCCTACAGAGGATCTATAAAATAGTTTATCAATACTGACGGTCCTAATACGAATAATGGAAAACTGTCATCAAATTATAGCATTGTCATCGGTCCTTGATAGATACGTGTGCGAAGTTTCAAATTAATCAAACTTCTGTAAATTGGTGGAAATTATGCTCAAAGATTCCCTTACATGCATACATACAGGCCAAGCTAATATAAGCGAGTTAAAAAAGGTATACCACAATCTGCCTCCTGTGAGGATTGAGCCCATGACCCCCGGTTTACAAGCCCAGTGCTCTGCCACTGAGCTACAGAGACTTGTAGTCTCGCTATTCGTAGTGCGGCATTTGAAATCGGTGGCTTTTTATTAACATATCTGCTTTTTACAGAATTTCATGAATAACCACGATAGCATTAAATATTTATATAATATATATTTTTTTAAAATGTTTGTTAAATATTTGTAGCGAAAGATTTTTTAATATTTAATAAATATATTTTTTATATATTTATAAAATATTAATTATAGATATCTGTAGTATATATAATTCATATCTTTTTGTTATATTTTTTCCAAATATTTAGAAAGTATAGGTATGAGGAAAGATTTTTAAATATCAATTTTATATTTTTCGTAAATACATATGTATGGATTTTCAAGCATTAATGTGATACATATTTTCAGAGTATATAGACAATTTTTCATTGGTTCTTTTAGCAAAACTTGTAGAAATGCTTATATAAAATTGGGTTTATAAAGAAAATTCATTCTAGATATAATGGTTTAATTTGCTAGAAAAAAAAATCTAAGCCTTTTCTGCATCTTGCAAGTCCATTCCTCTGAAAAAAAAAACTGATCATTAAGTATTATTGAATACATAAGCCGCTTTCCAGTGTATTTATGGTAATATAAAATGCAGTGGAACAATATTCGTGCTGAGCATGGTGAGTTACTCCGAGAAGCTCAACTGGGTCACTGAAAAGCAGCTCTATAATGCACCTAAAAGGACCCCACATTTTCTGTATATGATAGTTAGAGATATGGTTAATTTTTAAGAAAATTTGGTATGTTATTTCAGATATCTTGATGAAAAATGTCCTTGGGCACCACTTGATCCTTTGACTAACTTTTCAAAAAAATGTATTTGAAAATAGACCACTTATTGATTTTGTTGAAATTTGACTTTTTTAGTAAGGGAGCTAACTCAGCCATAACTATTTTTTGATTTTATATCATAATTCAAGGGACAAAAGTATAGTATTTTCGACTGTTAACATTTTTGAACGTACTACAAGATTAATAATAAAAATTGAGATATTTAAAAAAAGCATTTTTGATGCATCTCGATCAAGTTGCGAATATGTCTTTTCATTGGGATGTTATGAACATAATTTTTGTATCCATTCTCCGATAAATCCATCAATACCAAATAACTGTTACATTTCAAGGCTAGTTGTTTATGGTCTTGTGAATACATTTATACTTAGCTGGCACAATAATGTTTACTAGTCAGTCAAATTATGCTATGTAATTATCGAAAAAATTACCCTTTTCCCTTTTCCACAAAAAAAAAACACTCAAATAATGAACCACTTGGAGGTACACAGGAAGCACGCTATCATAGTTAATTGCTATTATCCCATTGGTCGCTCGAGGTCACACGCACATGCGCCGTAGCCGAAAATATTTAATGAATATTTTCTAAATATTGGAGATTTAATATTTAAAAAACATTGAATAAATATTTAATAAAAATATTATATTACAAATAATAATTGAATATTTGTTTAAGAAACAAATATTTAAGTAACATAAGAATATTATCGAATATTCGGTTACATACCTACATACAGGCCCAGCTAATAAAAAAAGCGTGTTAAAAATCGAATCAATATTTTTTGACCAAGGATACTTCTTAGATTATCCCTATCTCAATATGTCCTGGCAATCTGACAAAGTAAAACTGCCACCTAAACATATGGATGCTTCCACGGATGAATTTATGACCGCTTTATGACAAAATAAGTAAGTTCATACTTGCGTCCTTGCCTCATGCCAAAGCAAATTGTGCTATTTGCTAATCATCGTATTCGTTGAATTTGTTGTCACTAAAAACATAGGTGCGAAACTTTGACCCACTGAAAACAGGTATTTTTGGCGTACCAAGGAATGTCGAAACCATTATACGAACCTGTTCGGCTTGGTTCTCGCATATTTTGTGGATACTACATAAATCGATATATATTATGGTTTTTATAACATAGCAAGACCCTTTTCGAAATAACATAGACGGATTCATACAGAGTGCTCATACCAGCCGGTTCTAGATGTAAATGGTATTCTTATAGGTTTTGTTTTTAAAACAATACAACAATCTTGAAAAACACCATATTACGTTTGTTTATAGCATGCAGTCCAGGTAGTATTCTCCCATCTCCTCGGAAAAATATTCTGATTCTGTTTTTCTGCATAATCTTAATCGGAAAGGACCCCTTATAACGTATCTGACAGGCCCAAAATTGCTTGAAAACGAATACCAAACGTGTTTTTTTCCGCTTCGGATATTCTGATGAGCTTTTCTCTAAAGTTGGTAGTTTATCATTTAAAAAAATGAAGAAGTTGATTTCTAAAAAAAAGTCATAAAAGTTCTACAGAAATTAAGTTATAAACCTAAGCTTCAGTAATAAATTGAAAAATAAATATCTGTATTTTGCGTTCATCGTCATGATATTAGAACATGCATTAATAATTTATTGTAGCAAATGTTGTACTAAACAACTGACGAAAACAAAATACCAGGCATTTTTTTTTCATACTGATAAGAACGTGTAGATAAGGTTTAATCTGTATCGTAGGTGATCTGAATGAAGAACTGTCGATTTCTTTGAAGTTAAATAAGAATGTATTTTGAGAGTTTATGTTTTTAGTTATTTATTAATAAAAATGGCACATGTGTACACTAATGAGGAGTTAGTGGACATTGTTTTAGTGTACGGAGAAGCAGGGCCAAATTCGCGAGCGGCTTCTCGTTTGTATGCACACCGATGTCCGGATAGGCACATACCACATCACGGAACATTTAGTTCAGTTGTTTTACGTGCACGTGCTGGTGCAGATTAGACGCGCCCAAGCTTGCATTGCAGTCAATGGAAACAATTTTGAACAGCTTTTATAAGTAAGTGAACTGTTAAACTGTATTATTTTATTATCTCGATTTCTGTAGGACTGACAGTGCATATGTGGTTGAAATTTGTCGGATAAGTTGTAAAACAGCCTGTACAACTAGCAATCAATGATCCAAGTCGTATATATAAAAAGATTAATTGCCAGACGTCTGGCTCTTCGACAGACTAGTTAACCACAAATATTCCGCCAGAACGCTATGCAGATGTCCTTAACTGTAATTTTGGTAACCATTTATCACAAATCCTTACTTTAAGACATCTGTTTACACAAACTCATGATACACGAAATACAAATTCAACAGTTTGAAATTTTAGAAACGAAAATTAAGAGGATCTGTATTACTATCTGCAAAAAACGTATTGGTTAGTCGTTTATTCTGAGCCTAACATGGACAAAAAGTACTGTTGAATGACGTTTAGCATCACATTTGCAATAAATGATATTCAAATGACCGTAAAAGTTAAAGTATGGGCTATATAACATCTTCACTTGTTTTCTCGAAATTCCGACCTCACTTCCGCGATCTATTCGCTATGTGCGCGATGACAGCCTAATGACCATAATTATTCGGGACTCAGAACACATCATTTATCGGCAATAAGATGTTTTGTTAACAATTTTCGACTTGTATTTAACAAATTTAGTGTGGAATGGAAATATAGCAAATTGACAGATGCCAATTCCCAGTTATTTCACATCCCTGCCACATCGCAGGCTGCGAATGGTTTGACGACCATCACCCACTTCGCACATATCAAATATTTGGAAGAAATCAGAATGTATTTCATATCATTGTAATATTAAAAAACTTGCCAGCGCTGCAACTGTTTTTGAGCCCTGTCTCTGGAGTTTCATTTCAAAGTTTAAACAGATAAAAATACATTTCAAAATGTATCACTTGGTGGAATTGCTGAGTTTGTGGTTAGAATGAGATTACGTACACGACTCCAAAAGCCAGGAACTACATAGTTCATTCGAAATTTCAAATTCCACATATTCTTCAATCTTCAATCATATTTATTTTATTACACGACCGGCTGTAAGGATTTCCATAGCCGGCCAACAGTAAACATACAAGAACGTAAGAAAGCGATTTAGATAATACGAGGGATGTCTTTTAAGTTTTGCATATAGAGACATAGTAGGCCGCGCGGATCGAACGTCAGTACTGAATCTTAAAGTCACTCTTTAGTAAACTTAAATTCAAACTTTCACAGCAATACGTGCAGTGTTCTCACTACAGTGAATTTTTAAGTGTCACCAAGTCATTAGAAAAATGGAAGTCAACCGAGAACATTTTCGCGCCGTAATTTATTACAACTTTCAGAGACAATTATCGCAACAAGAATGCCTTGCTGAGTTACTGCTTGCTTTCGGCAACGAAGCGCCTCATCAGTCGACAATTTCCCGTTGGTATGGAGAATTCAAACGTGGACGGGTGAGTCTTAGCGACGATCCCAGGGTGGGTGCACCAAAAACGGTAGTCACCCAGGAAACGTCGATGCTGTGCGCAAACTCATCATTGAAGATAGACATGTGACATATCGCGAGATTGAGGCGTCCTTGAAGATCTCAAGGACCTAAATTCAAAAAAAATTACATGAAGAATTAGGAGTAAGAAAATTAGTTTCTCGTTGGATACCCCACCTGTTGACTGGAGAGCAGAAAGCAGCCAGGGTTAATTGGTGTCAAAAAACGCTTGAGCGTTTCAATTCCGGAAACTCAAAAAATGTGTACGTCATTGTTAGTGGTGATGAATCGTGGATTTACTGTTATGAACCAGAAAATAAACGACAGTCGGCTATTTGGGTGAAGAAAAGCCAACAAAAGTCATCCGTTCTCGAAGTGTTTCGAAAAAGATGGTCGCGACATTTGTGTCAAAAGCGGGGCATAATGCAACAATTCCTCTTAATAAACAAAGAACTGTTACTGCGGATTGGAATACCACCATTTGTTTGCCAAAGGTGATCATCGAGCTTCGAAAAATCAACCCCGAAAGAAGAATCATCCTCCACCAAGACAATTCAGGCTTGCACACAACCCAAAAAACAAGGCAGAATTTAACGGAAGAGAACGTGGAATTATTGGACTATCCTCCGTATAGTCCCGATCTAAGTCCTAACGATTGCTT